TGCTGAGCGCCGCATTGGCATGGTCATGGACGTCGCCCGTACGTCCATGATGCATGCGGCTGCCCCCCATTTTCTGTGGCCGTTTGCGGTTCGGTACGCGGCGCATCAGATCAACCTTCACCCCAGGGTCTCCATGCCGGAGACCTCCCCAGCTTTGCTGTGGACGGGGAAGGTTGGCGATGCGTCTGCGTTCCGTGTCTGGGGATCTCGGGCGTTTGTCCGCGACTTGTCTACGGACAAGCTGTCCCCTCGTGCTGCTCCTTGCGTCTTCCTTGGCTTCCCCCCTGACGCGCCAGGGTGGCAGTTCTACCACCCCACCTCTCGCCGTGTTCTGTCCTCCCAGGACGTCACGTTTGACGAGTCGGTCCCCTACTACCGCCTCTTCCCCTACCGCACTCCGTCCCTCCCCCCGCCACCGCTCTTCCTTGTGCCAGGTCCCCCCCCGGTAGACCCCCTCCCCCCTCAGGGTCCTGCCCCTTCAGGTGTGTCCCAGGTAGACGCCGTCGAGCCTGTCGAGGTTACTGGTGACTCTGGTGCTGCTGAGGGTGCTGAGCCTGGGGGTGCTGACTCTGGGGGTGCTGAGTGTGTGGGTGCTACGCCTGGGGGTGCTGAGCCTGAGGGTGCTACTCCTGGGGGTGCTGCGCCTGGGGGTGCTGAGCCTGGGGGTGCTACTACTGGGGGTGCTGAGCCTGGGGGTGCTGAGCCTGGGGGTGCTGAGCCTGGGGGTGCTACGCCTGGAGGTGCTGAGCCTGGGGGTGCGGAGCCTGAGGGAGCTGGGCCTGCTCGTGTGGCGTCTGGCGGTGCTGAGCCTGGAGGTTCTCCGGGTGCTTCGTCTCGGCGGGAGCCACTCTCTCCACAGGAGCTGCGCGAGTGGTTTGCCCGGCGCTGGAGGCGTGCTGCTGGAGCTGGAGGTTCTTCGGCTGCTGAGGGTGCTGGTGCCGCGGGTCCCGGAGGTGCTCGTACTGGGAGTACTGGAGCTGCTGGGCCTGCGGGTACGACTGGAGCTGGAGCTGCTGAGGGTGTTGACGCTGAGGCTACTGCTGTCGGTCCTGGAGGCGGTCCTGCTGGGGGTGCTACTGGTGCTGCTGGAGGTACTGGAGCTGGAGGTGCTGCTGGCGCTGGTGCTGCCGCTGGGGGTACTGGTGCTGTCCCTGCCGTGTCTGGAGTCGCCGCGCGGCCTCGGCCGTACTTCGTTCCGCTCCTTCAGCAGGTTCTTGGTCTCCCGCCTTCTACTGGTCCTCCTCCTCCCTTAGAGTGTCCACAGCCTGTCCCGTCACAGTTACAGTTACAGCCGGCCTCCCCACTGCCCGCTCCTTCTCCCTACACTGGTCCTACTGGAGGTCTGGCAAAGCGTCGTGAGCCTGCGTCTCGCCCTGCGTCGCCTGTCCGTCCTGCTCGCTCTAGTGGTCGTGGTTCGCGTCAGCGTCCTCCTCCTGTCCCTGGCACGCACCGGATGTCTCTGCGTCCGTCCACTACTCCTCTGCGTGCCCCTTTGCCTTCTCCTCCTGGGTCCTCTCTTCCTGCTCTTCCCGACCCGGAGTCGGACTCTCTTCGTGCTGCCAGTCCTACTGTCACGCGTCTCCTTGCTACTGTCGTCACTGACCCTTCCTTTGAGTCCACTGCTGCGTCTGCCCTAGTTGCTGAGCTCGTCGACTTTGCTGCTCGCTGTCGTATAGACTACGCTGCTAGTCTTGTCGTTGAGTCTGAGTCTGTCTGTCCTCCGTCCGTCGGGGGTGAGTGTGCCCTTGGCACGGACGTCCTTGAGGACAGGCAGGAGGAGTTCCAGTGTTTGGCTGCTGCTTCACCTCATCTCGTGTCCGTACTGCTTACCCCTGAGGGAGACCCGGATGCACTTGACATCCCGACTCCGCGCTCTTACGCGGAGGCGATAGAGGGTCCCTACTCCTCTCAGTGGCAGGCAGCTATGGACACAGAGATGGCTTCCTGGAAGTCCACAGGCACCTACGTTGACGAGGTTCCCCCGCCTGGGGCAAACATCGTCAGTGGCATGTGGATTTTCAGGGTGAAGCGACCGCCGGGTTCTCCGCCTGTCTTCAAGGCGCGTTACGTGGCTCGTGGCTTCAGTCAGCGGCAAGGAGTTGACTACTTTCAGACCTTCTCTCCCACCCCGAAGATGACCACTCTTCGGGTACTGCTGCACATAGCTGCTCACCGCGACTACGAGCTGCACTCTCTTGACTTCAGCACTGCTTTCTTGCAGGGCAGCCTGCACGAGGAGATCTGGCTGCGTCGCCCACCTGGCTTCACTGGGTCTTTTCCTCCTGGCACCCAGTGGAGCCTCCGGCGACCAGTCTACGGTCTCCGCCAGGCACCGCGTGAGTGGCACGACACACTGAGGACTACACTTGCGGCTCTTGGGTTTGCTCCCTCTACTGCCGACCCGTCGCTGTTTCTGCGCACCGACACTTCTTTGCCGCCGTTCTACATCCTCGTGTACGTCGACGACTTGGTCTTTGCCACAGCTGACACTGCTGGACTCGCCCACGTGAAGTCCGAGCTGCAGAAGAGACACACGTGCACAGACCTGGGTGAACTGCGCAGCTACCTTGGCTTGCAGATCACCCGGGACAGAGCACGCCGCACCATTACCCTGACTCAGTCACACATGGTGCAGCAGGTCCTTCAGCGCTTCGGCTTCACGTACTCCTCGCCTCAGGCCACTCCTCTGCCTACTCGCCACTCGCTCTCAGCTCTGCCTTCGGATGAGTCCGTAGAGTCGAGTGGCCCGTACCCAGAGCTTGTTGGCTGCCTCATGTACCTGATGACCTGCACACGACCTGACCTCGCATACCCTCTTAGCATTCTCGCACGCTATGTTGCTCCTGGGAGACACAGACCGGAGCACATGGCTGCAGCGAAGAGGGTGTTGCGTTACTTGTGCAGTACGTCGGGCATGGGGCTTGTGCTTGGAGGGCAGAGTCCAGTGGTCCTCACTGGGCACGCAGACGCTTCTTGGGCTGACGACCAGGCTACGCAGCGGTCGTCACAGGGTTACACCTTCAGCCTTGGTTCCGGCTCTGTTTCGTGGCGGGCTACCCGCTCGTCTTCTGTTCTCGGCTCCAGTTGTGAGGCTGAGATCTACGCCGGGGCCATGGCTGCACAGGAGCTTCGCTGGCTCACCTACCTGCTGACTGACCTCGGAGAGCCGCCTCGTTCTCCTCCAGTGCTGTACGTAGACAACAAGGCCATGCTGGCCTTGTGTCGAGAGCAGAGACTGGAGCACAGAACGAAGCACATTGCTCTCCGCTACTTCCTTGCTCGTGAGCTACAACAGCGTGGTCAGCTGCGGCTTGCGTACGTGGCCTCTCAGGCCAACACTGCTGATATCTTCACCAAGGCACTTGCGCCTTGTGATCATCAGCGCTTCTGTACTCAGCTGGGTCTTGTGCCTACCTTGCCTCACTTGCTCACCCCTTGACCTTGTTTGTACTGTTGCATATATATATACACCTGCTCTTGCTTGTCTAGCCTTATATATATATGTAATCCTGCATGTGAACTGGCCTTGTGGCCTTGAACTTGTGCTCGGAATGTGTGGTGACTTTGTGATCCACCCTGAGCTTGCTTTGCTTTGCTTGACTGGTCTTGTGACCCCTTGTTCTCCCCCACTTTGCCTATGGGGGTGTGTCAGATTTATATGACATAGCTACTGTAGGCTATAGTGGGGTAGCACATATGGGGTACAGTTTTCTAGGGTTTACATTTGTACCCAACTTTCCCTTCGTCAATTCATTCTCGTTCAGTTTCTCAGTTTTTTCTATTTTTATATTATTGTAACACAGCTACCCTACTTAGGATCGACTGACAACAGGGAACTCTTGTTAACTTATTCATCCACCCTGTATCGTAACCATAGCCACGCCGACGGTGCAATGCAGAGCGCGAAGCACAGAGTGACTCACCGCAGCGACGCCCCCGAAGGCCACGGCGACGAGGCCGTTCTCTTGCCCGCGCTCGCACTCTTTAATGCCCGCAGCAAGCTCACCGATTCCCCAGCCCCCAGCAGCCCGCAACTCAAGGCCGCGCGCTCCGCTAATGCCTCCGGGATCGCCACTTGCCTCTCGCTCGCCTGGGCCATTCTCGCCACAATAGTCGCTGCGGTCTCCATCTCGTTACACGTGGCGGAACCTCCGCCGTGGATCATCCTCGCGTTGCAGCTAGAGCCGTCTGAAGGAATACTATGGAGAGCGTAGCGATAGCGAGAGATTTTCTGATATGAGAATGGTGTTGCGCCAGCAACTCGGTAGCGTTTCAGTAGCATTAGTCTCCAAGGACTTAGTGAGAATTCAAGTAGCAATTGGACTTCACAAGAAATGTAATATGATCCATGAATACAAAAGCAAACACACATGCAAATATAGGCAAGCAAGAGTTGCACAAATGTTGCGTGGCGCTTCGGTGTAACCCAACCCCACGAAAGTGGTGTGCGGGTGGGTGAAAGCGCCCCGTCGAACTTCCATCCAACTCAACAGCGAAATGCATTCCGTGCACGCCACTCTAGCCAACACTGCAAGGAGTGGCGTGACTCTCAAAGAAGCACACCTAACTCCCAAAGACTCACGCCTCCTCACACCGAATCCACCACTTCTCCAAGTTCGTTGCCACCGCTAGCAGTCACGCGCCACAGACATGTGACCGTCACAGAGATCGGTGCCGAGGCATTAGGTCATCAGTCGCCGACCTGCCAAGTCAAACGCTTCGCGAGTCGGATCCCGGATCGACGGCTGACGTGCGGAATTGTAGCGATTAGATTTCAAAGCCAGTGGCAGCGGGCGCCGATGCTGAAGATCCGTGGGTGTCAAGCAAGGTGGGACGGATAAATAAGCATCCACGTTTCCGACGGCTAGATAAGCATCCGCGTTTTCGACGGCTGAATAAGCATCCGTGCTTTCGACGGCAAGCACATATCAAATCAACCAAATCATTATGCCTTCTAGTTGCCTGTCGTTCCGGTGTTTCGATTCTCCATATCGAGCATGATGCCTCAACCCCGAGCTCCGCCGCTGCGCCTAGCGCTCCCCCCCCACCCCGCGTTTCCCCTCGCACGTTTCCCCATGCATTTCCCCCCATGCGCGCTACAGTGGATACCGCGCATGTCGCCGTGTCCAGTAGCGGGGCTGGCTATAGAGGAGCTGGACGAGCACCTCAATTTTCGCCGCGGGTACACGCTGGGCTTTGTTGACGACGTGGAGGACAAGACGCAAATCCTGGCCGTGCTGCGCGCCGTCCTGGACCCCGCCATGCACGCCAGGTGAGTGCGTGATGGCTGGTAAGGCTGCTACCTTTGATATGATGGGCGATGATCATGGACGACGCGAAGGATAGTACGCAGATCCTGCCCGTCCTGCCCGCCGTGCTCAAACCTCCCGTGCACGCCAGGTGAGTGCTGCATGCATGGTTTTGCTTATATTCGGGGCAATGAATATGGCCAATAACTACGAGCAATGTGCAAGAATTGTTTTATACAAAAGAAAAACAAACAAACAAACAAACAAACAAACAAACAAACTAACAAAATATAAACGGCCTCCTCAGCGCAGTGCACCTCAAAACCCGCCCTTTCCACGCGCTGGCTATCCCCCGTACCTGCTATCCACTTTCAGGAAGTGGTGTGTGCTCATAGACTTGGGGGCTCGGTTCTTCAACACCAGCGTCACATGGTTCCTGCAGTCATACCCTCTTGATTTCACCAAGATTCATGCCGTCGAGGTGCGACAGGGCGTCTTGCAAGTGCCCGCGCCCAGCCACAAGGTGAGGGAGGAAGGGAAGGGGAAAGGCGGAGTACAAGGGAGTTCAAGTGCACTCGATTTTTTCAAGGCCGAGATCTGATGCCCATAACCTCAAATCCGAAACCTTAACCTCGATTATGGAAACTTAAACCCTCAAAGTTGAGACTCGAAACCTTGAATATGAAACCTGAAACCATAATTTGAGACTTTAAACATCACTTATGAAGCCCTGAATTTCAAGTTTTTAGATTTTAAATCTCAAAAATGATACTTTAGACTTCAATTTGAAACCCGAAACCTCAATCTTAATTCCTAGACCTCAATTTGAAACCCGGAACCTAAATGTGAAACACTTATAATCAGCTTTGACTACATGCCCCGTTAGATGGCAGCAACAAGGTGTTGGAATGGTGTATGAAGCGGGGGAGGGTGTTGGCCGAGAGGGATGCAACTGAAACTGTGACTGCTGCTAAAACATTGCTGCTACTGCTGTTGCTGCTTCTGCTGCTACTGCTGTTGCTGCTTCTGCTGCTGCTGCTGCCGCCGCCGCTGCTGTTCCACTTCTCATGGCTTGTCTCTCTTCGATTGTGTCAATCTTGAGAATATTTCTTTTCTCCACCTTCCTGTTTGTGCCTTCTTTTCAATGTCCTCTTTCCACCATTCGCCCTTGCGTCCTCGTCAGACCATACGCGCCAACATGAGTGCTCGCAATCGCCTGTGCCCTCTCCACACAGGCCCGGCGGACTTCCCTCTCTGGCTACTCGCCAGGGTGCACCCCCCCATGCTCACTGCTGTCTTCAACCATTCTTCTCTGCCCATTCCTCTCTTCCTTTCTCCACCCGTGCACCCTCGTCAGACCATACGCGCCAACATGAGTGCGCGCAGTCGCCTGTGCCCACTCCACACAGGCCCGACGGACTTCCCTCTCTGGCTTCTCGCCAGGGTGCACTCTCCTATGCTCGCTGCCTTCATCGACCATTCAGCTCTTTTTATTACCTCTTCCTCTCTCCCCCCCCCAATTATACGCTACGCGGCAACATGAGTTTTTGCAGTCGACTGCGGCCACTTCACACGGGCCCAGCGGACTTCCCTGTATGGCTGCTCGCCCGAGTGCACTCCCACCGCTTCATGGCCTCCGCTATTGACAATGCCGGGAAGGTGAGGGTGGATTGGGTGGTGGGAGGATGAGGGGTAGGGGGCACGATGGAGACTGGCATGGGAGTCGACTCAACACACTCCTAATCGCCTAGGTGCACTCCCACCGCTTCATGGCCTCGGCTATTGACAATGCTGGGCAGTTGAGGGGGGATTGGAGAGGGTAGGGGTGTGATGGAGGCTGGGATTGGAGTCGGCTTAACACACCCCTGCTCGCCTGGGTGCACTCCCACCACTTCATGGCCTCGGCTATTGACAACGCTGGGCAGTTTAGGGGGGATTGGAGAGGGTAGGGGTGTGATGGAGGCTGGGATTGGAGTCGGCTCAACACACCCCTACTCGCCTGGGTGCACTCCCACCGCTTCATGGCCTCGGCTATTGACAACGCTGGGCAGTTGAGGGGGGATTGGAGAGGATAGGGGTGTGATGGAGGCTGGGATTGGAGTTGGCTCTGTTAATGTTAGGCCTCAATCTCACATTTGTACTTGTAATTTTTATATCCTAGTTTAGTGTAGTCTGCACTTCGTGTTTGGTTGGGTGTACACCCACATCCCAATCAAACCCAAATGTGATCTCCAAGCAATCTCCAACCCACCAATTGGAGATTGTCTTGGGATTACCCCCAATTCCCTAGGATTGCCCCTGATTCCCTCCCCATCGATTACTTGCTCATTTCTGATGTACTTAAAGAGCTTTGAGCTCACTACTAATGCATGGATTCTAAGCTCAAGTTCTAACATGGTATCAGAGCTCTTCAACCGCACATGCGGATCTTGATCCTTTTACCTTTGCGGAATCCTCTCCCGCACCCTTAGGCAAAGCCGCCTTCAACATTCATCGTTCGATGCAAAGCATCGTCATCGACCTAATCTTCTTCCCGGCCGGAATTTTTCCCGCGTCGCCTTCGTCGCCGTTGATTTGCGACATCTTCTGTGGGTAGATTCTCTCCCACACTACCTTTACTTCAGTTACAAGGCACCGATTTCTGCGTCTCGCGTAAGGTAACCGTAGCTACCATTTCCTCGTCGCTCTCCCTCATCATCGCGGCTTTGTCCCGCCGTCCTTCTTGCTTTGGCGTAACCCATTTTTTCCCCATCTCGTCAATCGTCGGGCTGCCGCCTGTCGCCCTGCAGCTTCCCTTTGGGCTGCCGCCCGTCGCCCCGCAACGGCACTTCCATCACCCCGCAGCTGAACAGGTGAAGCTGCGCAGCTGAGCAACATTGTAGCAGTGAAGCTGAGTAGCAGTGTAGCCACGAAGCTGAGGATAGTGTGTGGGGGGGTGTGTGGGAACAAGGTTAGTAGTTAGTCGACACTAAGGATGAGCAAGGGGCGAACACGAACATGTTCGTGTTCGCCCCTATACAAAGACATCCGTTTGCCGAACCGAACAGTGTTCGGTTTGGCGAACACTTTAAGCAAAAACACGTGTTCTTCGTTCGCCTGTGAAGGCGTGTTCGGGCGAACCTCGAACACGTTCGTGTTCGTCGCGGGGCAAATTGCAGCAGCGGTCCAAACACGAACGTGTTCGGGCGAACCTCAAACACTGTTTGGCGAACACTTTAAGCAAAAAAGGCAGCTCAAGGCGAACCGAACAGGTGTTCGCCCTTGTGCTCATGTCTAGTCGACACTACCAAAATCGGCCGTTTCAACCTCTTTTCGTCGGCCTTAAACCTTCTACGAGACATCTTGAAGCGGCCAACATTAATGTTCTTCGCTCTTCGGGACCTTCGGATTTCGAAATCGCTAAACCTCTCCTCAAAATTCTCCGTCCCTACTTTGCAATTCTCCTTCGTAATCCCTAAACCCGAAGTTCATATCGGGGACTTAAGAGAGACATTCCACGCGAGAAAGAGGTTCTTCACCATGGCCTTCGCCTCGGCAACCATCAACTTGTTGATCCCTGGCACTACCATGATCAATGAAGCAACCTCGCAGCACATCGGCTCACCACAGGCACCACAGTACATAGAATTTACACTCGACAGCGGGGCCACCCACATAGTGCTCAAGGAGACACTCTCCTTCAAACCCTATTCAACACCTATTCCTCTCTTGGGAGCTGATTCAAGCTTCACCACCTTTGCCAAGGGTTCGTCCACTGTCCCATGCCCCGCCTTCCCATCCGGCACTGTTACTGGGATGTGCGTGCCCTCATTGCACCACAATCTATTGGCTCAACAAGACTTCAGAAGGCTGGGCTGCGCACCATAATTTCGGAATTCAAGGACTATTGTGATGTCATTGACCCTCTCACCAACAAGGTCTTAGAACGCTTCACCCTCAACAGCAGCAATCTCTACACTCTACGTGTACCTATCCCACAGGTGTCAACCACTCAAGCACAACCCACTACCACACCATGCTCATGTCACAGTTTCTCTAACCCGACCATCCTCTACCACCATCGGCTCGGGCACCCAAACTTCCGCACGCTCGCTGACATGGCCTCCAAGAAACTTCTTCTCGGCCTACCAGCCTCACTCCCTCAACCACCTGACTCTCCCGCTCCCACATGCCTTGACTGCACCAAGAGCAAGCTATGCCAACAGCCCCACCCTGCCTCACCCTCAGTCACAGCAGCCCCACTGGACCTAGTGCACATGGACGTCTGGGGCCCTGCCCCTTTTGCCGCACGAGGTGGTTATCGCTATTTCCTTGCAATAGTTGATGACCATTCTCGCTACGTCTCTGTGCACCTCCTCCATACTAAGGCTGAGGCTCCTGAGGCCATCATAGCGTGGGTTAACCAGGCACAGACCACCTTTGGCACCAAGGTCAAGCGCTTCCATTCGGATGGTGGCGGTGAATTTTGCAATGACAGACTCAAAGCCTTCTTCTCCTCTCTCGGTATCTTGCAAAACTTCACCCCTCCTGACAGCCCACAGCAGAACGGCATCGCAGAGAGCCGCAATCACATGCTGGCACAGATCACCCGCTGCCTCCTCGGCCACTCCAACACACCACTTTCACTCTAGGGGTACGCCCTCTACCATGTCGCCCTCCTCAATAACCTCTACCCCCACCCGCATCTTCCCGACACCACTCCCACCACACTCTGGTTCAGGAAAACACCCACTGCTCGCCCCCTTCGGGTATGGGGGTGCACCGCCTATGTCCTCCTCAACCCTCAGGCTCGGCGACAGCAAGGTGGTAAGCTCGGCCCCAAAACTCAAACGTGCATCTATCTTGAGCATAACGCCGACTCCCCTAACTACCTCTTCCTCAACCCCTCTACTCAACAATTAATATGGAGCCGTGACGTCGTCTTTGACAAGACTCGCCCCTTCTACTCCTCCTCGGGGGGGGATGCTTCCTCCGGACCACCCTCTCTTGTGTGTGCTGACTTTGATGCACCTCCTGAACCTCCACCTGCACCAGCTCCCTCAACCCCTACCTCTCCTGCCATCGCACCATCCCACTCTGAGGTCTCTGCCCGTCCTCACCGGTGTCTACGGCAGTTGCTCCCTCATCTCTCCCCTCTCCCACTCCACCAACTGCGCTCCCACCACCAAGTGCACCAATCACATCCATCGGCGGTCCAACCCTCCGGCCCCACCTCCTCCCTCCGTTCCGCCTTCCACTCAGGAACCCACTCTCCCACAACCGCCCGAATTGATCACCTACCGGCATCAACCAATCCCTCCGCCCAAACCCCCTAAACCGACCCCTCCAGTGCCACCCGCTCCACCCTCCTCCCCCGTGGCCCACGGCACTCGGTCGCATGGGGCTGCTCTTCCACTAGCACTTGCTATTCGATGCTCAGTGATCACTCCGACTCCTGATTGGGGGGATGTGCCCTCTACCCTTCTGGAAGACAGGCATGAGAAGCTATGTGATCTCCACACTGTCATTCCTCAGCTCTCGCACATCTTCCTCGATATCACTGAATCACCCTCGCTCAACTTCTCGGAGAACCCGGCCATCCCTATCCCTCTCACCGTCAAAGAGGCTCTTTCGGGTCCCCATGCTGCCGAGTGGCGCGCTGCCATGGAAGCTGAGTGTGAAGCTTTCACTCGCAACCACTCCTTCGACGACGGAACTCCACCTCCTTGAGTCAACATCGTTGGGGGCAAGTGGTTGTTTCGAGTGAAACAACTTCCGGATGAGGCCCCAGTGTTCAAAGCGTGCTACATGGCTAAGGGGTTCACTCAGCAGCAGTACTTTGACTTCTTCAAAACCTTCTCCCCCACATCCAAACCACCCACCGTTCGCACACTCTTGGATGTGGCAGCTCGAAATGACTTTGAGATCAAATCCATAGATGCCTCTCCGGCTTTCCTACAAGGACACCTCAAGGAGACTGTGTTCATGGATCGACCTGAAGGCTTTCCAAGAGAGTTCCCTCCCAACACTGTCTGGAAGGTAAATCGCCCCGTTTTTTGCCTCAAGCAAGCCCCTCGTGTGTTAGAGACTAAGGACGGAGTCTATGAAGATTAGGGGCTGAAATATCTCAAAATCGTCAACAACAATTCTGGACAGAAACGTCGTCTTCACAAGAAACGTCGTCGACGATTAACGCACTGTTATAATTATTTCAAACTCGAGTATGTTGTAGCCCTTGACCGTGGCTATCTCTCTCAATTTGAATAGTATCAAAATATGGAGTATAACTCGAGGTATGAACTTCGGCGCACTAGGGGGTATGCTGCCATAGAAAACTTAACTCAATCACAATTATCTCACAAGTTCACACAAGAAAGTTGAAGTAGCAATGGAACCAGGTAGGAGGGGATGAGGAGGAAGAGAGGGAAGGTCCCAAGGGAGTCCCCAACCAAAGAAACCCCATACCACACAATTCCCCTCTCTATAGGCACCCCAACTTTGACATTTGTCACTTTCCCAACTCATGCCATCCACCTCACCCAACTTGGCCACACTTGCCAACCT